TCATTTCTTGTCGTAAAGTGTAAATCGAAAAAAAAAATCAATGAAATATTTAAAATATTCGGAGGTAAATTCGTCAAGATTCGTTTAAATGCCATATCTACATGGATGAAAAAATTGAAATAAAATGAATCCAACTCGATAGAATTTGTAGTGGGTTAGCCAATTTGTATGTATCAGTGACAAAATACAAATTAAACTGACCCTCTGCTATTTTTACTAAATCAAAGACAACAACAACAACAAGAGAAATAATCAAACATGCAGATATTTGTTTTTACAGAAAATATTTTTTATATAACAACAAGTACACACGATATAATAAAGTCTTAAAATTTTAAACTCTTTAGAGTTCTTGGTTTTGTGATCCATGGTAATATAAAAGCAGTTCTGCTATAGATCTGGTAAGGAATTAAATAGTTTATGTTGATGGTAAAATTGAATGAAATAGATTGCTTCACTTACTGTAGAGTTGTCTCGCTTCGACTGATATAGTTACGATTTCCTTTATGTTTTTAAGATATTGAGTGAGTTGGTTTCTGGATCTCGTCTTGGTTGAATTGGTCACTAGATGAGTTGATATTGAAAAAAAAATTGAATTCCACAAGCCGGGTTGATGTTTAATAAAAATTAACTTTTAGCGAGTAAGTTGAGTTTCATGGATTGACGTTTCGAGTTGATTATTTTAAGGACTCGCTGACGAAGTCGTGTCGAAGTTTCATATTTATGAATTCTCTTGATCACGTGGGAGGCTCCAAAGAATGTTTACCAATTTTGGGGTGTGTTGAACTCTGAACAGGTCAACTCTAGGTCAACCGTGTAGAGGTAGGCAGAAACATGACATTATTATTTATGGACCAATCAGAAAGCATTGTTTCGTACTGAACTCTTGATTCTAATTGGTTCAGCACAAACTGAGTGTACTTAGCTGTGATCCTCTTTTAACTGGTTTAAAACAGAGAATGTAGAAATCTAAATCTACAGAAATGTAAGATTGAATTCAAGGAAGTAAAAAGAAAATGTCGAATGTATTATTTTTTATTTGTTATTAGTATAAAATAAAATATAGAATAAAATAAAACAAAGTTATAGTATAAAAACAGTAAAATAAAAAACAACGTTAGTATAAAATAAAAAAGTAGTTTAAAATTAAAAACGTAAAAAAAATACTGAAATATTTTTTATTAGCACTAGTATAAAATAATTAAAAAATTATTTTATTAGTACTAATTAATTTTTTTGTGCAAAATATAAAAAATATTTTTTTATTTGTGCGAATAAAAATGGTTACTGTAAAATGTAAAAAATATTTTTTATATTTTGACACTTTTTAATTAGTTATTATTTTGAATTATACTACTAACTAAGAATTTTTTTTTAATAAAAAACAACAATCAACTAATGCTAAAAATGCTAAAATTTAAATTATTTTCAGGTTTAATACAAGATAACTTTAACATTCGATAATAAAAACGAAAAAGAAACTCTTTTTTTACTCGTAATTAGAACGAAACTAAAAAAATATTTGTATGGTAAAATTGCAGATTAGGACCCAGAAACCAATTTTTAAAAAAAGCATCATTCCTGGTGTAAAAAGAAAAACCTGATTATTCTAAAACTAGCATTAAAAATTTGCGGAAACCTACTGCTAAGGAGATAGTGACAATCTTAGTTGGGTCTCATTTGTCATTCAAGACAAATGAATGAAATTATTTTTTTCAGAAAATCTTGTTACAAAAATATTTTTTTACATCTCATAAATGGTAGAGTTTCCTCAATTTTTAATCGGGCTTTTTTACAACAGGATTTTTATTTAATTATCCATAAATATGTAAACTTGCTCGCAGTAATCAAGGAGGCCGGGCACGCAGTAATCGAGGAGGTCAGCGCACAGTAATCGAGGAGGCCAGCGCGCAATAATCGAGGAGGCCAGGTACACAGTAATCGAGGAGGTCAGCGCACAGTAATCGAGGAGGTCAGCGTACAGTAATCGAGGAGGCCAGGCACGCAGTAATCGAGGAGGCCAGCGCGCAATAATCGAGGAGGTCAGCGCACATAAATCGAGGAGGTCAGTCGCGCAGTAATCGAGGAGGCCAGCGCACAGTAATCGAGGAGGCCAAGTACGCAGTAACCTTGTCCTGTAAAGGTGGTCGTGCTGTACCCAGGACCCAACTAAGATTGCGGTAGGTTTCCGCAAATTTTTAATGCTATTTTATTGAATAATGAGAACACAAGACGGTTAATGCGACACTGAAATCAGTAGACATATTGGGATGGCCAAGATCGCATTCCAAAAGCCGAGCAGAGTATTACGAGACAGGAGAATTTCTTTGGTAACAAAGAAAAGAATACTGAACTGTTACGTGATATCTGTCCTTCTTTACGGCAGCGAATGTTGAACGATTTCCTCAAAGATGAAGAAGAGACTCGATGCGGCGGGGATGTGGTTCTACAAAAGGATGCTAAGGATATCATGGACTTAGCTTGTGAGCAACGATGAGGTCTTAGAGAGGATGCAAACAAGGAAGAGACATGCTTAACATCAGGAAGAGGCAGCTGAAGTTTCAGGGACACATAATGAGGAATGAGGGCCTGGAGAATCTGATACTCACGGGTCGAGTCAAGGGAAAGCAGCGCGTGACATACCTGGCGGGCTTGAGCAGGTGGATGACAGAACGTGGTCTGGGGGAGGAAGCAGAGGGAAGGAACTTGTTGAACTCTGCAAGGGATAGAGGGAGGTGGAGAGCCATGATCGTCTACGTCCTGAAAGGACATGACACATAAAAAGAAAGAGGTTTCTTTAGACTAGGAATGATGTTTAGATTGGTTTCTGGGTATTAATCTAAAATTTTACCATTTATATTAATGAGAAAACTCTGATATTTAACCCTGTGTGGATCTATTACGCATACATACATACAAAAATACAAATCACATACAATTCCAAAAATTCATTGGTTAATAAATCGACACTACATTATTACAGGCAATTTACGAATCGCAGTAATACGACAATTTTGTAATCGCTCTATTGTTATGTACTCAATTTTATGCACTTTTGGGAGAAGCGGATCACAGAAGCTTTCTTAAGTCTCCCCAAAGTTCGCTCGCTGATTGGTCGATGTCAACCAACCAGATTGTTTGCACGTGAAGAATAATTTTTCCCGCGTAACGATTTGGAGCCTATAGTCGCTTATTTAAGCCAAGATTTTTCTAATCCCAACCAGTGAGATTTCAACTGCCAAACGAATCCACGACAGTTGAAACCATGCGCCAACTTTCTTACGATATTGAGTCACCCTAACCCCACCCACCCACGAGGGTGTCATGTGGCACAAGGCGTTTTTAACGTGGGCATTCCGAGCCCATGGGCTCGGCCAAAAATATGCCCATTGAACCCGTATAAACGAGTTCAGGGCCGGTTTACCTCCCCGAAGAAGACTCCGCCCTTCGGCGGAGCCTCCTTCGGGTTCCTCCCGTCCGTAAGGAAGAAAGTTCAACCGAGCAGTCGGTTCAAAAGTGTACGACTGGCGCCAACTTTCTTACTCACACACACCACTCACATGCTGAACATACCTTGTACACACTCACATAAACTCTTCTTACATAGAAATATCTTTCAAGAACAATTATTAGAAGTGACTCTCATGAACATTCTTCCAGTGAACTTTGGAACACTAAAATAACAGTTAAAGAGAGACAACTCTTGTTTTATTCAACCTTTTCTTACTTAAATGCATGCTTTCCTTCACATCGTTGTTTGGTATTGTACATCTTGTTAAATATATATTTTATGTGTAACAATGTCTTTTGGTTATCCTTTTCTGCGTCAGCCATGTTTCCTAATCTAAAGTTAAATTAATGTGAAGTCCGCCACAATTTCATCAACAGGACTATTTTCACTTAGTCTTTGTTTCAAAGCCATGAAATTCAAAATATTTTTTTCTTTTACAATTCAATCAAAATTATGTTGACTTTTTTTCACTTAAACATCAAGAGTTCAAAAGTTTTTCAGGGCCGATATATCGGCCGAAAAGTCGAATAGCGAAAACGATCCGCCCGCCCGCCCGATAATACGAGCCTCAAGATTAGTTGGTTGGCCTTCGTACCAGCCAATCAGATTTCTTCTTGCATATCTTTCACATCTGAGACTGTCAATGGCGGTTTCTATAATAGTTTGCTGTGTTCTGTGATTTTACATCGTTTGTGTGTGTGGGGGGGTGCGTGCGTGTGGGGGTGCGTGCGTTTGTGTGTGTGTGTGTGTGTGTGTGTGTGTGTGTGTGTGTGTGTGTGTGTGTGTGTGTGTGTGTGTGTGTGTGTGTGTGTGTGTGTGTGTTCCAAGTAAGGGCATGTGAAAAAAGCTTCGTCTTCATGGCACAGAAACTCAAAACGAGGCTCTGTCTCCAAAGGATTAAACATTAGAGTTCAAAGGTTTTTCATTAATATAAATGTTTTACTTTCATTCTAATTATGAGTAAAATAAAAAAAAGTTTATTTTTCGTTTTTATTACCGAATGTTAAAGTCACTGAGGCGGACTTCACGACATTAATTTAACTTTGATAAGAAAACAGGACTCACGCAAAAAGAATAAACCACAAGACATAAAATATATGTATATTAACAAGATGTACAATATCAAACAACGATGTGAAAGAAAACATCATTAAACAACCCTACCCCGTCCAATGTTCGGGTGGCGGTGTCAAAACGGATGTGTGCCTTATTCTGCCTAAGCCAGACACTCCCCAAAATTAGCTACCACACAAGTCAGGTGCCACATAAACCTTAAGTTTACCTCTGGTCCTTGCCAACTGGAAAGGTAACCACGTCATACCCTCTATCCCCATCCTGCTACTATCAGCCTGACTTATTAGTAGATCGACGGGACTAAGCTTCGTTTTCAGTCTCAACTGTTTAAAAACCCTTGGAGCTAACCAGTGACATTGAAGCTCCAGTATCGACAAGGGCCTTCACCTTCTTGTCTCCCAGCAACACATTACAGATGAAGTCTGGCACTTCCTTCAGCAAACGGTATACCTGTGCCTTTCTCCTTCCCGTATGTTCTCTCCCTTCCTCTCGCTCTCTCGACACTCGAGACGTGGGAGTCGGTGACAGGAGTTCACCTTTTTCTAGGGGCTCCAATTTCTGTCTAAGGGTCCTCCTGGGTGGGGTAGAGCTCGGATGACCCTCTTTTCTCGGACTAGCAACCCATGTCTCCCCTCCATTCGAGTTAGGATTGTTCCGTTCGGTGTGGTCCATCTTTCTCCTGCGAGGATAGGTTCGTCTCGGGTGACCCGCTCCTCCACGGCGCCAACACCTTCGCTCCTTACAACTGGCCGAAAAGTGCCCGACCACACCACATGTCCAACATCTCAGAGGTCTTACTTGTACTGGGGCCACCCTGCCTCTTACTTTTTCACAGGTGACCCATCGGCATTTCCCAGACCCTTTCCTTCTCGGTAGGGGCCACCAGCGTATTAACTCGCTTTATCCCCAGTTTACGGTCTCCCTCTGCCGTACGCAACCGAGCCTTGTGCCCGAACTCGCCACAAGTCGTGCAGTCTGGCCCCAAAGACCTTGGGTCGCCTCCATAGTTTGTCGGACAGTCGCGGGCCCGATGCCCACCATACTTGCAAGTCCAGCATACCAGCCCATATCGGCCCGGTGTGGGCTTCTGAAACCCGTAACGCAAATCCCAGGCTCTCCTATTGGGAACTGACTCAGCCTTCTAGTCCTTTTCCACCTCTTCTTTCGGGTCCCGTATCTGGATCCGCTCCCAGTCCTTCTTTTTCATCACTACTTTGCACCCCCCGGGGGCTTCCTACCTACACCCCCTCTTATTCTATCCCAGAGTCGTTCGCTGGTCCGAGCCACCTCTATGGCTGCGGTCAGGCTGACCGGTCCCCCGTTCAGAACATCGCCCCTCAGATCCCTGTCATTCAGCGTGTCCACATACACATCGGCCAACAAGGCCTGAATAGCACCACTGTCCCGAGTCGCCAACTCCGGAAAAGCTAACGCCACTAGCCCCGCGATTCTTTCCCCCAATTCCTCATTAGTCTCTCCTTCTTGTTGCTGCAGCCGGAATAATTTCCTGGCTGCCTCAATGGCCGTACGCCCACTTGCATATTGCCGCACCAGAGCGGATTTAAGCTCGGTCCACGTTAGGACCGGGTTTTCTTTGTACCACCCCCTATGAACTTAGACACCAGGCCCGCTAAGGCGTCGTAAGCTAGGAACACCATTTCTTGGTCCGAGAGGCCGTAGATCACCTGCTTCTTCTGAATGGACAGAATCCATTCGTGCAGGTCCGCAGGGTTTCCTTTATAAGTAGGTAGCTTCATGCTACCTATCAGCCTCCTGAAACCCATCGATATTTCGGGGACCCCCACGTCCCCAAGGTCATATGTAGCGTCTGATCCTGCTATGCTCATCCTAGCGTCTTGTCAACTACCACTTTCCCACGAGAAGAGAGATCGACGACAAAACGAAAAGAAAAATACTTAACACGATGGTGGCGCTTCAACTGCGTACAAAGTTGACAAAGTCAAAACAAGATGAACAATATTACTGGCACATCTAAGTGCAATGAGCGAACAAAGAAAACCAAAATGTGACTTACCTGAGGTCCACCACTCCGTGTTTTGTTTCTTTTTCCTCTTTCTTTTGTTTCATTCTCTTTTCCTTCTTATGTCTTTTTCAGATCAATATAGCTCGAAGACTAGAGTCCTTTCTGGTCTTAATTGGTCCCGACTGGACAAATGCAACCTTCTCTCCTCTTTCAGACGGCCGTGGCAACTCCCAACGGGTCTATCCTGGTTAACACGGCACTAGTCTAACACTTTCGCCCTAGCCCCTCAACCTCCGGCGTCTTACTCTCTGTGTTAAGGTGTCTACTCGGTCCTAATCGAACGTAAGGGAGTGGCCGTAGGTCCCCTGAGAATCAGGTAGATTTTTCGACCGGTCTGCTGGTTTAATCCTGCTTCCTGCCCACGTTGTGATTTGTTTGATCCAGAAAGCAGAAATGATGTCCGTCCATTCACGGTCGACTGAAGATGTAGACACGGCTGGGGAGGCTGCGCTAAGAAATTTAGAATGCAGCAAAAAAAAAAAAAAAAAAAAAAACTTAATATCTGCAGAAAGCCGGACAAACAACTATTTAATGCTTGAATTGTTAATGTCTTTTATATAGCAGAAAAGAATAGTATAGAAAAGAAACGGGTTACAGAAAAGAAAAGTAATTGACGTAAAAACTCATACACTGGATTCTAGACAGACACAGAGAGAGTTTATGTGATTATCTTGTTGTTAAATCGTCTCTGAACGATATATGACTCTTGTGATGGAGGGATAAAGATTTCTGTGCGGGGATCAAGGTTATAGTGGCGTTCCTCCTCCCAACGCTTGCCCGGGCCAATTCTCTCTTCTCCAAGAATTTTCTCCCGTCTGTCTTTTTCAGCATACCTACGCGTTTATATAGATAAACCAGGCTGGTTATAACTGACCCTCGGCCCTACTACTTCGAACGCGATTATCACTGGGTTCTGGCTGCTTCAACCAAAATCATGTGAATTCCAAAGTTCCTTCTAGCTTACTCAGTTCTATTTCAATTTTTAATCGATAAAAATTATTTCGACCCTTTCCATTGTCGACTGATGACCTAGATTCAATGGGTCAACTTCTGCCCTAGATCAGATTTCCTTATCAGTAAACAAAATGCTCTGATTTAATAATGTACATATCGCCCTGTATGGAGGTTGGTAAATAAAAAAAGAGATTCCAACATGAGAGACAGAGAGAAGACACAGAGAGACAAACACTTACAACTGCGAGTGAATACATCAAAGACATCTTGGCTTCAATAAACACCACAACTCCTCACACCTCTGTCGTCATTTTTACCCCTTTTACTTCTCTCATACATTCAAATTTCTTTTTTCCCCCCTCATTCACTGGGCATTTTACTAAATGAAACTTTTATTTAATTTTACTTACATTATAAATACCAACCTTGTGCCATCCATATACATTAATAATGTTTTTGGAAAATACAAAACCAATTATTAATGTTTACATAAAATTATAAATTATACTCCAGACTTGATTGTTTTAAGAATAGATTTATCATGTTTCTTACTTATGCCTTCATATATCCCTTATTGTGTTAGATTTGACAAGACCTAACTCTCAAATAACCCGCTATATGTTTACTGGACTTTGTCATATGAATTTTGGAATTCTGCCATCATCATCATCATCATTATCATTATAATTATTATTATTATTATTATTATTAATATCATTATTATTATTAATATCATTTTTAATATTATTATTGTTATTAATAGTAATATTATTAATATTATTATTAATATTATTATTATTAATAGTAATATTATTATTATTAATATTATTATTATCATTAATATTATTATTAATATTATTATTATTATTAATATTATTATTATTATTATTTTTATTTTCTTTGATTTCTGGCGTTTACACATTTCTTTCCGGGTCCCGCCCAGGGACCTAAGGTTAGAAATGGCGTCATGACACTTTCCACTGACAAAAAAAAAAAAAAAAAAAAAAATTAAATTACGTAGATAAAGCCCTTCGTAAGGTGTGGGCTGTACTTGTCAGAACAATTTTTTGTATCTCCTTGAGGCATGGACTTCCAAGAATCCCTTCAATTAGTCTACTGCAAACTTTTCCAACCAGTCCTAGGGCTCCAACTACAACAGGGATTGTTGATGTTCCCATATGCCACATTTTCGAGATTTCTATTTCAAGGTCCTTGTACTTTGACAACTTTTTGAATATCTTTAAAGATACATTGCAGTCAGCAGGGACTGCCATATCAATAAGGAGGCACCGTTTTTGTTTGTGGTCTTTAATAACAATATCTGGTCGGATGGCCTTGATTGTTCTGTCAGTGTGTATTGTGTAGTCCCATAGAATTGTAACAGGTTCTATCTCCGTAACCAGTTTCTTTCAGTTTCCTTCCCGTAGAAGTTGAAGATTTTCCAGTGCAGATATTAGCCCACTCTGTCATGTCGGGTTTTATATTCAGTGGGTGCCAACACCGTGCAACCTGATACAAGATGATCAATCGTTTCTGGATATTTATCACAGAATCTGCATTTTGGGCTGACACAATATTTTAGTATATGTGCTTGATAATTCCTAGTTAGCCAGCATTGGATAAAAACCTTCAGTTTCAGCTTTCAACCCTGCACTACGTAGCCATTGATGGGTACGGGTTTTGTCTACGTCAGCTTGTTTGGTACGGGCAGAGTATTGGCCATGAAGCGGTTTATCTTGCCATCGCTTCTGTATCTGGTCGGTTGCATTCGTCTTTGCTGTCTTTTTTAGGTATTTTGCAGTTTCAGCCGGTGTATTGTTCTGTAGTTGCATCTCTACAGCCATTTGAAAATCCATTTTGAATTTGTTGGCTTCTTTCATTACGGAGTAAAGACGCTTACTACTTTCATGTTCCTTGACGCATACCATCATCCAGTCTTCTGTAGTTTCCAGATATCTTTGGAGGCCAATTGTTGTAGTTTTGTAGGACAGTTCTAGTTGAACTAATCCTCTGCCTCCTTCGGATCTGGGCACATACAGACGATCGACATCAGCTTTGGGATGATGCATGCGATAGCAAGTGAGAAGCTTTCTCGTTTTGGCGTCCATTCGCTTAATTTCAGCTATGGTCCAGTTAAGGACATTAAAGCTGTATTGCACCACAGGGACAGCCAATGTGTTTATGGCTGATATCCTGTTTTTTGAGTTTAGCTCAGTATTTAGTACCAGACGTACACGCCTGTAGTACTCTTTTCTTATTTTTTCCTTCATTTGGGGGTGTTGTATGCCATCTACTTCGCTAATTCCTAGGTACTTATAAGCTTCATCATGCTCCAGTTCCCTAATCTTTGTGACAAAATCTAAATCTATTAAGGGTGTTTCTGTAATTCTACCTTTCTACTTTTGCACATTTATCTAATCCGAAGTCCATACCTTTGTCGTCACTGAAGTATTTTACAATATTGAGGCGGCCTTTCAACTCATTGTCGTCTTTGGCAAAGAGTTTGAGATCATCCATGTAGAGTAGGTGATTGAATATTTTCTTATTTATTTTGTAACCATAGCTACTGTTGTTCAGTTCATGTGTAAGAGGGATTAAGGATAAACAAAACAGAAGGGGTGACAGAGAATCTCCTTGAAAGATTCCACGTCGGGTACTCAGAGGTTGGATATGGCAGTGCCCCCGGTGTGACTAAGGTATAGTTTGGTGTTCCACATTCCCATGCTGTGCTTAAGGAAATTTAATACCACAGGGGAGACTTTGTACATTTCCAAAGTCTTAAGGATCCAAGAATGTGGAACACTATCAAAGGCTTTACGATAATCAATCCACGCTGCACTTAGATTCCTGCGTCGTCTCCTGCAATTTTCCAGGATCATTTTATTTATCAGAAGTTGATCTTTGCAGCCATATGAACCTCTTCTGCATCCCTTCTGTTCCAGCGGGAGAATGCTGTTTGTTTCGAGAAAGGAATAAGTACGGTTCGTCAGTACAGACGTGATCAACTTATACGTTGTGGAGAGACATGTTATCGGTCTATAATTTTTCGGGTCGTCTGTTTCAGTTGTTTTTGGTATGAGGTGTGTAATACCTTCAGTAATCCATCCCGGGATTTTATTGGGATTATTTACAAGCGTTGATAATGTTTTTGCAAGAATTTCATGAGTAGATGTGAGATGGTACAGCCAGAAATTGGGCAACTTGTCATTTCCTGGGGATTTCCATTTTTGGGATTTCGTTAGAGCTTGCCTAACATCATCTGTGGATATATTTTCCCATTCTTGCAGAGGTGTATCCAGCAGTCGTTCTTTTTCACGCCGTATCCATTCTGCATTAGTAATATTATTATTGTTAATATTATTATAAATTGATATTATTATTAATATTATTGTTATTAATAGTAATATTATTATTATTATTATTTAATTTCCATCTGAATTTCTGGGATGCAAAGTTATCATTACTTTGTCGGAGTTACCTCCTCCTTTTATCCTTGAACCGGCTGAGGAACAGGTCATTTCGACCTTGACCTCTCATTCATGCTCCTTACACACTGTTAATGCGTCGGAGGGACTAGCAAATCCCCTTTTTAGTTAGGTTATATTACAAACCTAGTTGTAATATACTACTAGTCATTTTTAGACCTTAGTTCTCTTTAGCTAACCTCGTAGTATTTTATTATAGAGACTTTTCGGTTAGCTTAGCCAATTTCTCTTGCTGGTCTCCCTTGTCACAAGACAGTGATTTCTCGCTAGATTCTGGAAAGCGGTCGGCGACCGAAACGGTCGGCTACGCAAACCCCTTGGCCTTCATTGGCTAAGGACGCCGATCAACGGGCTGTGTATTAAGTTACGCTCCCATTTTTTTTGTCTGCCAACTTGACGATAGTTGGGAACATTCTTTCTCTCTCTCTCCTTCCCAACACGTCAAGTTGGCATCCCGGCAATGACAAACATGTCAATTTGGCACCCCGGCAACGACTCAGCTTCAACAACCAACAACGATCATCCTAGCATCAACCAACATCAACTTCAACAACCACCAAGCGATCATCCTGGCAACAACCCACATCAGCTTCAACCCCCAACAACGATGATCCTAGCAACTACCAACGCCATTTGTGAAAGTTTCATTAAAATCCGACAATTACTTCATTTTTGCAATTTCCAAATCAATGTTATTTACCGCAAAAAAGATGTTACCATTTCTTATATTAATTCATACTTAAGAAACTATATCTTCCTTCGTT